AATTTAAAATAACAAGTTTTTCTATTACTCTAAAATTTTTCAAGGTCAAAGAATCTTTAATGATTGAATTAAAAAAAAATTCTTGAAAAAGTTACTTTCATGATTTTTTTTTGAATAACATCACTTTGTCATGTTGACACAAGAACAAAGAATTTGCATCCTCATCCTGTGACATAGAACCACGAGTTTTTTGGATTTCAATTTCTCTCAAAAGCCTCATCACGCAACATAGAATTACGTGCTTTTTGGCATTCTCCCAAAAAATAAATCTCATCATCTGAGATAGAACGAGATGCTTTTTTATTTCAAATTTTCACTCGAGAATTCGGTCTCACCAAAGTGTGTTTTATTGAAATAGAACTTTTAAAGAAACAATAATTGCTCATATTAAGAAATAACAGAGCAGTATCTAAAAAAAATTTTAATAAAATAATTAAAAATTATTTGACCTTACAAAATATCTATGAGAAAGGATGTTAATTGAAACATTAGAGAACATGATATTATATCTACTAATTTAGACCTAAATTCATCAATTCATACAAAAAATTTTCAAAAATTTAAACAAAAATCTAAGTTTGACAAAAAACATTGGGTAAAAGATTTTTCTAGAAAACTAAAGCTGATGACTGTATATATAATTTTCCTAAAAATATAAAGATGTAATAAACTTCATAAAGAGTATTTCAACCATAACTCTATCCTCCTCACACTTATGCGGAACCGCGCCCTTGCGGGTTTAAAAGTGTTCAGAAACTAGATTTATGGTGGAAAAACTCAAATGCACAAGTTAAATTTTTCTAATACTTAAAGAATTCAAAATGAAGATTGAAACATAAATAAATCAAGAAAAAAATATTTTTGGCGAAAAGGGCATATCGCACAGTAAATTTCCCCAAGATGTTCTCCAAAAAGTTGTTTATAAAATGATTGTTCAAAACAAAATCCAACATCCAAGCAACCTGGTCAAATCACAAGAAAAAGCAAGTAAAAGTTTGATAAAATAATCAGAAGATCAGAATCGGGGTGGGATTGGGTGCGTTAGTGCAGCATCTGATGCATCAGGATTCGAAGTATGCCCAGTTGAAGGTTGCTGAACTGGTGTTTGAACAGGAGTACCGATATTGAAGAAGTTAGTCCACTGTGCCTCCTACTGGTCGACAAGCCTAGTCATATCTGCATCGTAGCGCTGCTCAAAATTGGTGAACCTTGTGTGCAGATCCTCCAATCTACCATGAATCCCACTCATCTAGAACTGAAGACCCTGCATATGAGTACTCAATGTCTGTGCCCATAGGGGTATCTGAAGGTTCTTTACCCCAATTGAGCTCTGGCCTGCTGAAATGTACTCTGTGTCTGTGGCGCAGGACGAGGCCGAGGTGATGGCCCCTCTCTCGGTCTAATCCTCCATATCTGACCTTTCTGAAGTCTAATGTGTTGTATCATAGTGCTGTCCAAAAGTCGGACACTCTGCTTAAAGGCTAAGAGGTGAGGATTCAGCAAGTGCTCCTGTAAGGATCTGTGAAGAATCGTGATTAACGAGCCGCAAACCACCATGATACGCGTACCATATGTCTCGGACCACAAGAATCGGGCAATGAAAACATCCAAATTAACTTGTCGCTGATGTGCTATGCTCTAGAAGAAGAGCATGTCAGAAAAATAGACCCGGTTGCTGTTATTGGGTCCCAAAGTAGCTCATGGACATCAGGAAGGTGGGAAGCCTCCAGGAAGGCTCAGCCTAGTCAGAAGCTCGACTAAGCTGATGCTCGAAAGGGACATTAGTGCGTGCATGTGCGGTCCAGAAGGCCTGGACGTCGAAGTCTTCATGAACAGTAATAGGGAGGTCAGCAAAGGACGAATGTGAGATCTCCTCTTGAGTATATATTCCCAATCTCCACCCGAGCTCAGCAACAGTAAGAGTATGCCCCTCACCTATTGGAGAGTGAAAATGAGGCGGCTGTCATGCCTCATACCTATCCCCACGTCATCTCGCCGCTCAAACCCCAAAAAAGGTCGCAACGAGCACAGAAATTCATTAGTGAGAGGCAAGCTAGCCTCGGCTCGCAACGAAAGCAAACGCTCCCATCTAGATGGCCTAATCAAGGCCTCGACATCTGCCCAAACCCCAGCTGCAACGAGGGGTCTCCGATCAAGAATCACTGGGGCCTGTAGAGATTGGTGTTGGGCCCATGTAGTGAATCGCTCCTTAGCCTATGGATTAAGAAGTGGAAACTGAAGATCCTGCGCCCTCCTAAATGAATCGGTCGGTGCTCCTACCATCTACAAAAATTAAGCAACGGTTAAACTTGCCCCCAAATTTGGTACGACAAGTAAGCATTCAACTTTTTTTCTCCTTTAAGTAAAAATATATTAAAAGTGGTAACTAGACCGATTCAGAGTATTCGGGATCGGGCAGAATGCTGCCAATTAGGTGCTCTTAGGCTCACCTGAATAAACCTTTCCACTGAATAACCCAGTAGGAATGGTGGGACAAGTTCGGCTCCCAAAGGCATTGCCCTTTGTGTCCACTTAAGTACCATTCCAGGTTAGACAGTCATTCTGTACACGCTACAGATACCATTTTTAACATACGAATACAAAAAGAGCTCCCTCTCTCTCTTTTGGTTTTTTTTGTGATGATGATGACGGGTTGCCTCCCGTTCAACACTACTTTAACGTCGTTAGCTAGATGTTTTTCTCCTTCTTCAGTCCTCCAAGGTTTGGAGGTACATTGCAGTTTTCTCTGAGAACACATCTCCTCCTTCAAATTTCTTCAAGCGGTGACCATTGACTTTGAATTCACCATTCTTCCCTCGAATTTCTACCGTTCTAAACGAATATACTTTCACAACTTCAAACGGACCCAACCAACGAGACTTCAGTTTCCCGGGGAACAACCTCAACCGGGAATTGTATAGAAGTACTTGGTCCCCTTCATGGAACTCCTTGGACTGTTTAATGTGTGCATCATGATATTTCTTGACACGCTCTTTGTATAGCAGATTATTGTAGAAAGCCATCGTTCTCCACTCATCTAACTCGTCCAGTTGGTAGAATCTCTCCCTTCCTGCTGCTGATGAATCCCGACACACATTTCTGAGTGCCCAAAGCGCTTTGTGTTCAATCTCGACAGGCAGATGACAAGATTTCCCGTAAATAAAATGGAAAGGAGTAGTTCCGATGGGAGGTTTTATAAGCAGTTCGAAAGGCCCATAAGGCATCATCAAGCTTCAAACTCTAGTCCTTCCGAGTTTTTACAACGGTCTTTTTTAGGATCGCCTTCAAATCTCTATTTGTGTTCTCCACTTGGCCATGAGTGTGGGGATGGTAAGCACAACCCCTTCCGTGTTGGACTCCGTATCTCGGTAAGGTTCTAGCCAAGGGATCATTCCTGAAATATGTCCCTCTGTCACTGATCAACATTCGAGGTACTCCGAACCTCGCAAACAATTTTTTCAAGAAATGCACCACAATGTGTGAAAAGGTAGGCATGATACTAGTTATTTATTAGGGATATTTTGGGAAAAGATTTATTTGATTTGACATAATATTAAAGTTTTTGAAAAGAGAATATTAAAAATAGGGACGGAGGGAATATACTAATATAGGTATGTCACCTCTTGTTTTGCCGAATTTTTTATTTAATCTTTTTAAAATATAAATTTAGTTTTGAATTTTACACCATACTCAAATAAATTAAATTGAAAATAAAATCGATCAAACCTTGTAAGACGTAATGGAAAGAACCAACTTGGATGGAGGAGGTATTAATTAGTGTAAAATTTAAAAATTAATGGGAAAAAGGTGGGATTTGAGGAATGTGTAATTTTGGTTTTACTTTCAAATTTTGCCATTACTTTATAGTAGAGTAGGATAGGATGTACTCCCTTCGTCTCCCTGTATTTGTCCACTTTCATTTTTGCACACCATCCAATGCACTTCTTTAATCTATTTTATCTTGTACTTTGTATATTAAAAAATTATAAAAATTATATATTAATAATCTATATGTTAAGACAAATCAAACAAGATCACACATGACTATATTTAGGCTTACACATTGAGAGAATTTGATGAGTCAAAGTCCTTAGATGAATAGTTCCAAAAGTCAAATGTGGACAAATACAGGGGGACGAAGGGAGTAACAGATAGGTAATTAAATAGGTATGATGTGATAGGTTGGTTAATTATTTGTAGGGGTAAAAGAGAGATTCTAATTAAAAGTGAAAGTGTTTTTTGCTACGGATGAAAAGTGGACAGATTTTTTTTGGGGGNTTTTTTGAATTGCTTCATGAATGAAATTTGACATCATTTGGGCTTTATTAAGTTATTCAAAAAAAAGTCCAAAGAGCATTCAATTTAATTCATTTACTTTAGACGATGTGTAACCAACAAGTTATTTCAGATGCCAGGTTAGCTACTCCCTCCGTCCTAAAAAGTCTTTCCTGTTTCATTTTTTGCGCATCCCATAAAATACTTCCATCCCGCCTTGAATGCTAAAAAAAACTTTTAAAATAACTTCTACCCACAATAAAGAAGAAATATTGTAAATTTTAGGCATTTTAGATGTCGGTAGAAGTGTTTTATGGGATGCGCAAAAAATGAAACAAGAAAGACTTTTTGGGACGGAAGGAGTATTATTTTACGTAAAATTAAACCCAAAGCTGACTCAACCATGCTGGAATAGTGATGTGAAATCCAATAGTTTCTTGGAGTTTTGGTGTGCAAAAGGAAATGTGGTAGTAATATTGTACAATCGACCAAATCCGGGAGTACTGGCATGCATTTTTGCCATCTTGTTGTGTAGTTTTTAAATAAATACTCCCCCCATCACAAAAAAACCTTTCTACTTTTACTTTTCATCCGTACCAAAAAATACTTTCATTTTCAATTAGAATTTCCCTTTTACCCCTACAAATAATTAACCAACCTATCACATCATACATATTTAATTACATATCTGTTACATCCTATCCTACTCTACTATAAAGTAATGACAAAATTTGAAAGTAAAACCAAAATTACACGTTCCTCAATCCCACCTTTTTCCCATTAATTTTTAAATTTTACACTAGTTAATACCTCCTCCATCCAAGTTGGTTCTTTCCATTACGCCTTACAAGGTTTGATCGATTTTATTTTCAATTCAATTTATTTGAGTATAAGTGTAACATTCAAAACTAAATTTATATTTTTAAAAACTAGATAAAAAATTCTGTAAAACAAGAGGTGGCATGCCTATATTAGTATATTCCCTCCATCACTATTTTGAGTACAATATTCTCTTTTCACAAACTTTAATATTATGTCAAATCAAATAAATCTTTTCCCAAAATATCCCTAATAAATAACTAGTATCATGCCTACTTTTTGCACACATGGGATGAGGACTAAAAAAGTGAGGATATTTATGGCAAAGAAGGCAAATGCGGGGTGAATTGCCATTTACTAAACAAGACCGTTATCTTGATATAGTTGAGTCAGGATAACCTCACAATTTTTGGTATAATTGAATTAGGATAACCTCACAATAATTGTCAGTACAATATCGAAAATTATTATCTATGTATGTAGGTGAGTGATAATATCAAAATTGTGGGTTACAATGATTTTTTGATCTTGGCATACCTAAGGCTTCATTGTTTTTTATTGATAAAATAGAAGAGTGTAAGAGGGGAGAGGAAATTGGAGTTGGTTCCATTGAAAATGGTAGCAGATGTCACAGTTTTATAGGCTTTTGTGGTCACCGGCTACTCTTTTCTCTTCCCCCTATCTCTCTCTCTCCTTCTCTCTCGCTCTTTCTCCTCTCAGGGCTATGTGAGAAACCAAGAAAGGGAAAAAGATTCAATCCAACACAGAACCTACCCATATTTGACTCTCCATTTCCCTTTCTCGGTTTCGCTGCTCAACGATCGCGTCCTCTGGCTTCTTCTCCATCGCTCGACTCTTCCATTGCTATCTTCTTCATCCGCCCGGCCTTTATGTATGTATGTATGTATGTATGTATGTATGTATGTATGTATGTATGTATGTCTCTTCGATTGAATCATGGGTATGAAACCATGGTCGTAATTTCTTCATTTTGACTCGTGATTTACGCGGTGCAGGATCGTTTGGTTACACTGGGTTTTCTCCCTTTTTGACGTTTCTGCCTCCCCCCCTTACGAATTCTGTCTAGGTTTTGTGCTCTCTAGAGTCTTCCTCAACATCATCGCAAAGGGTCTTCGACGGATTTTCGATCTCGCAGGTTTTCATAAATTTTAATTTCTACGCTTGCTTGTGTTTGTGTGCTTTTTCTCTTGGTTTTTGGGGCATATACCTCTTTTTGGAGTTCTGTTAAGGAATGAATTTGCTTGGCGAATGAGTGGAAATGAATTCTTGTTCAGGGTTAGGTTTAGAGCTAGGTCATCCTCAAGGATGGACGCGTCCGGCGGAAACTCGGACGCTCAGAGAGGTGCTTCTTCAACAACTAGCAGTAATGCGCATTCTAGAAGACATGGAATGCAATTTTCAGCGTCCAATCTTCTCAGGTTCCCTGTGTCTAGCTTGTTGGAATACACTGGTATCTTAAGGACAAGGTCCAGCAATTTGGAGACAGAGAGTTTAGTCAACCAAGGAACATCTGTTGGATATCGAGACCATTTTCAGCAAAGAACTGATGATTCTGGAGCACCCAGTGCCAATCCCGGTGTTGCAGAGGAGGTCACGATTCGGATCATAGGTTCGGGTGACCATGAACAGGAACAGGTTGGGATGGGGTTGTCTTCATCGGTTTCTGGGCCATTGAGGGAGCTGAATGGGCCAAACGAGTCAATTTCAAGGTCGGGCTCTGCAACTTCCGTGGCTTCTGCGTTTGAGAGCCAGAATGACTTGAGAAGTGATAGAGGAGATCGAGGGTTCAATCAGGCTGCAAATGGCAGTGCAGATATGGGAACTGGAGATGGAGGTGGGACCTCCAATAGGGATTCTTCTTACCAAAGATATGATATACAGCAAGCTGCTCGCTGGATTGAACAAGTTCTTCCTTTCTCTTTGCTACTTTTGGTCGTTTTTATTCGACAGCACTTGCAAGGTATTTTTGGCTTGCCTTTTCATATTAACTTCATTATGTACTGGAAATTTTCTTCATGCCGATGGGCAAATATCTGAGTCAGTGTGTTTTTCAACCTTGCTTCCCATGGATTGCCTTGCTTGTTTGCTTAGTGGGCTTCTTATACCACTGCTTTGATATGGGAAGCTTCTGTAATGTGTTTGTTATGGTGAAATATGCTGTATCTTTTACATTGTGGAATGTTTAGTTCTGGAAGGATGTTTATTTGTGAATAATGTTTTTATAAGTGGGATTTTAGCATCTATTTTTTTGCCCTCCAGTAAGATTGCTTTTTTAGAAAGCAGTACTACTTCTCTATGCAATGAAATTCTAAATTCAGTTTAGACTTTTAAAAAACTTATATTGATTTTTTTGAAGGTTTTCTAATTTTTTGGGTGCCGATGCATATATAATATGCAGGTTTTTTTGTAGCAATTTTCCTTACTGCTGTTATGCTCAAGTCTAATGATATTGTTCGGAAGCAAACAGCTCTTAAGGTAATGCGTAATGCCATCTCCCAGGCAATAGTATTAACCATTCAAGAATACATTGAAAGTAGAAAAATAGTGGAAACATAGGAAATGACAAATCTATTCATTTATGCAGGGCGAGAGGAAAATTTCTGTTCTAGTTGGCATCTCTATCCTGTTTTCAGTTCATGTAGTTGGGTTTTATTGGTGGTATCAGAAAGATGAACTTATTTACCCATTGGTGTTGCTTCCACCAAAGGCCATACCGCCCTTTTGGCATGCTATATTTATGATCTTGGTGAATGGTGCGTTCGTGTTAAGTTATTATGATGTTTCATATATGTACCTAATACTGCTCAATCCAAAGATAGGTTTGTTTGATGCATGTCCAACGTTTTAATCTTGGCAACATACAACTGTCATATATGTTGGTTGGACTGAATTCATCACTACAGACTTTTTTAGGCAATGTTTTTAAAAACTACATGAATAATTAGCTTCTCGTGATTTTGGTACTAAACAAGTGTTTGAATCATAGTCACAGAATTCGCTCCCAGAGCCGCGACTTCCGTATTGGTACGATTCGTACCCAATCGCAAGTCGCTTGCGATCCGATCGCAACCTGTACGGCGATCCAAATCGCGATGGTAAGGCGCTCCCAATCGCGATGGTACGGCGATCCAAATACCTAGGTACGTTGTACCCATCGCTGGCGGTACAACGTACCAGTGGCGACTTCCTCGACTTCCTCTTCCCAGCAAAGCAATGTCGACTTTCTCTTCCCAGTTTGCCTCTTTCCCTTTCCGACGATTTCTCTTTCCCAAGTCTTCGTAAATTGAGTATGTTCCACTTCCCAGGCACGTTCCACTTTCCCAATTAAATATTTCTCTTTCCCATTCTCATCATTTAATATTTAATTTAAAATTCAATTCACAATTAAATACTATACTTATTTTTATCTATTTTTGTTTACTTATGTTTTGACTTTTGGTACACCGAACCGAATACATGGTACACCGTACCACTTCGTACCGCTTCGTACCGAAATGAACCTACCCCCCTTCGTACCGAATTCGTTACCTCTAGCGAATTTCGTACCCGTACCATGTATCCGTACCGAAACGTATCGCGATTTATGTGACTATGGTTTGAATCACGAATCCCCCTCCCCTTTTGTAATGGAGGGATTAATAAAAAACTGTGGCTTTTAAGTGGCATTCTGATTTCATTAGCTTTTACTGTTTTAATGTAAAGATACCTTAGTCCGTCAAGCAGCAATGATCCCAAAGTGTTTCCTATTGATGTACTACAAGAACAGCAAGGGAAGAAACTACCGAAAGCAGGTGAAGGATTGCACAGAAACCACGGCATGTCCATTGAATTTCATAATTTGCCAGATTCTTCAATACGCATAAATCAATGATGAATTGTTTTGGCTTATAGGGACAAATGCTAACTGTGGTAGAGTATCTTGTGCTGCTTTATCGTGTGCTTCTTCCAGCTCCGGTTTGGTATCGTTTCTTTCTGAACAAGGAATATGGAAGCCTCTTTTCGTCATTAATGACTGGGCTGTATTTAACTTTCAAGCTCACTTCTGTTGTCGAAAAGGTATGCCTTTATACACTATCACTAATCACTTTCTGTTTTGAGATTTCGGCGTCTATGTAATTGTGGCATTCTCTTTAGGTACAATCATTTTTCAGTGCTTTGAAGGCTCTTTCACGCAGAGATATCCATTACGGAGCTCATGCAACATCTGAACAGGTAATAAAAGGCTTTTTTTTCTTCTTTTTCACTGATAGTGGATAAAGATAAAGAGACATTGGAAAGTTATTTGATCTTATGAGAACTGTATATTTTGCAGGTGATTGCTGCAGGGGATTTGTGTGCCATTTGCCAGGAAAAGATGCATGCCCCAATCTTACTACGCTGTAAACATATATTCTGTGAAGACTGCGTCTCTGAATGGTCAGTTCATTCTTATATTCCCTCCGTCCGGAAAGAACTTCCTAACTAAACTTTTCACAGTTTTTAAAGAGAGTTGAAAACGGAAGCTTACCAAATTACCCTTCATGGAAATGGGTGGAGTTTTGGGTGAAGTGTAATAAATAGAGTCAGGGTAATTGTGGTATTTGAAATGTTAAAAAAGGGCATTGACAAAAAAAAGGGCATTTAGGAAGATCTTTCCCGGACAAAAAACGGGATCCCTACAGAGTTGGACTATTGTATCAAAATGTGCAAGTAAACAAAAGAGTGTGCTGAGTATTGTTTCATATTGTCCGCAGGTTTGAGAGGGAAAGGACATGTCCCTTGTGCCGGGCTTTAGTAAAACCGGCTGATCTCAAGTCATTTGGGGATGGATCAACCAGTCTCGTTTTCCAGTTATTCTAAGTCCATTAACCATTAGTCAAAAGCGGCTCTGCGGTGACAATACATACATGACCACAAAGAAGACATCCACAATCGTATCAGTTTTTGTCATTTGTTATCGCCAGAATGGGGGAAATAGGGCGCTGGAAAATGCAAACTATAGAAATTGTTCATAGTTGTGTAACCAAAAAAAAAAGAGTCAAATGTTACAGAATTAATCCACTGAGAAGAAGAAAATGACAGTGCGTTAAACAGCTCATATTCTTCTTTTGATATATGAAAGGAAGGAAGCCTTGCAATTTTATTTTTTTTGTCTGATTTCACTGATGGAATCCCAGATATAGCTGGGAGAAATGTGTTTATTTTTATTTTATAAATAGATGATGGAGCCCTGAGTTTCTATGTGTAATGTGACATCCAGATTCTAGAACAATAAGTACCATTTTAAAAAAAGAAAAACCATTATATTGCAGCATTTACCATTCACTCACAAGTCATGAACTGGTTTCCTTGGGTAAGAGTATTATTAAGTAGCAAGCACAGAGGGAATCCTGCTCTTATTTGAGTACCAAAAATCCCAAAAAACTAACATGAGAAACTTACATATACAGGAAAAATAATTAATCTTCAACCCCCACTTTTTTGGGTTTTTTTTTAAATAAAAGAAAACCTTCATATGGGAAAATACAGTAAAGATGTGTAGTATATGAAGTATTAAAGTGAGTGTTTATGGAAGGAAATTAATTAAAAAGGGGAAAGGGATGAAGTTAGTGTCTCCTGGAACCTTCTGTTTTGAAAGATGGTGGTGCTTCGAGCTGGGGAACAACATCTGTCGTTCTTTGCGGCGAGAGGGGAAGAGGAAACTTGGTGACAGAAGAGCTTCTCCTCATCATCACGGGAGACTTGGCGAGAGAGGAGGTTGTGTCAGGGAGTGAACGAGGGGACGAAGGGGATGGCGGGGTGGACGAGAATGCCCTTGAGACTCCCCCACCAGGAGGATTGTGAGGGTAAACATCTGCAACTTCTTCAATGTCGCCCTCGTCATCCCAATACACCACGTCCTGCATTGTCAGTTGGTGGTATTCCACAATTTCTCTCAAGAACCGATTCTCCCGTGCATAAACAGCATTCTCGTTTGCTAATCTGGCCTTCTCAGCTAGTAAGGTTTCGAGTTGATGTCTTATCTACAAATGGAAATGTTATTGGTAGTATTTGATGACAATAATAATAATGTCTTATAAATCAATGTGGACTTTTAGCATAACACAAAGTATATGGTCATCACAAACCCAGATGCAGGGAGATTACCATGTCATCATCAGCGGGGATGCCTCCCTTTTCACGAGCATCTCGAAGCATCCTATTTTCATCTTCTAGCTGAGAGCATCGCTGTTTTGCGAATGTTAAGTCTGCTTTAACAGTTTTTAGTTCTCGCAAGAGAAGTTTAGCTTTGGCAGCTGTTGCCATTGCCACCTGCAATCACATCCACAGGACATACATGCACTTCACAAACAAGGAGAGACACTAAATAACAGTTAAGCCACGAACAGATGCATAAATCTGCCAAGGACACTAACTTACTGTCCCTGGGTTCTATGGTGACCACCATTGGAGTCACCTCTACACATCATTATCATTGTTTACATTATTTAGTTGGTCTGTATTTGACAAAACTTGAGCTCCTTTCATAATTTAATCATGGTATGGTACAGTTCATAAATTTTCGAGTGCATTAGAGCTCCATTTGGTAGCATTTTCTTGTTCTGCATAATAAGCAGAATAAGTGGCTTTTGATTTCTTTGTCTGAAATGGATTTAAAGGACGCTATGTTTTTGAGAAAGTTCAGACATTTCAGTCAAATAAAACTTATCAAACGGGCCCAAAGAGTTTCAATACTCCCTCAAATAAACAATCAAAATGGAAATGGGTGCAACCCAAAATTACCCATCACACAAGTTGGGCACCTTACGTCGCGAGATGCCTTGAGTTGATCTTCTGGACTAGTATGCATCTGCAGCTGAGGTGGTTGTGGTGAGAGTTGATGCCACGGGCTAGATACACCAGACTCCTGATTTTCTTCATCAAGATTATTGGACCCCTTTTTCCTGATCTGCAGTTTTCGTGTTTCTTGAACGATGCCTGCAGACTTGTTCTCAATTGTAGTTCGTCCTTCCTGAAAGTGTACTGAATTTGTAATCACTAAGATCTTCAACTATTATCTTACAGAGACATTCTGTAAAATGAAATGAATAAGAAGAGTACGAGAAACAATACTAAAGGGTGTCAAGCCACGCACTTTGATACATTAAAAAGTAGAAACTACTCTGTAATGTATAAGAGGTTGAGCTATTTACTCCTACCAAGAGAAAGGCTCCCCACCTCGCGAGGATGTGGATATGCAACCTTTCGGAAGGTACTAAAAAATGCACAAATTAATATATGACGTTGTTTCCCAATTCAACCCCGTTGCACCAAAGCTTGCCCGGTCTCAACAACTTTACACGGAGAAAAAATGAATGTGCTTGATCATTGAAGAGATAGAGGTACCTGAAATGCAGTTCCAATGGCACCACCACTTTGGTTGAGCGAAGATGTAAGTGCATCCCAGCCCTTATGGAGTGAAGGACTGTCTGTTTTTCTAGAACCATAAGGGTGTTGAACTGACTGATGGTACTGGGAAGTCTGATACGTAAGAAAGTGGACACAAAAGTCAGAAGCAGAATGGCCAATCCATAAGTATGGCCTTGTTGTGCAATTAGCTTTAGCTATTTGAAACTAGTTGATTATATGAGTTGCTTGAGCAACGTTTTACTCTAGGGATTAATACATAGATGTTTGGTAATCGTAATTAGAATTTACTTGTTTGATTTATAAAATGTTTTCTTTAGTTAAATAAGAGAATATATCAAAGAACTTCAGATCCAAGTTTTCTCAAAATTAGTTTCTTTTTATCTTACCTCAGCTATTTTAAAAACATGTTAACCAAACATTAAAAATAGCTCAAAGCAGCCACTTCAGGTTTAAAAAGCTAAGAGCTCTCCACCACACTCACAAGGCTAGAATGTAGCCATACCAAGCATGATGTTAGTGCATATTGAGAAAATAATAACTAAGTGAGGGGAAACTGAAAATCACCTGGCTGGCTCTTGGAGAATTGATGCTCCGGGCTTCAAACTGTCGGGACATGGTATCATCCTCGAGAATTGCTTTAGCTTTCCTAGCCAGAACACCCCAAAAACCGCCCCCTTCATTTGTACTCGTCATGGACGTATAATCATATGTAGGACCGCCCTGATTCTGTAGCACCTATTAAATGTGGGAAATCACCATTTTCTCAATTAAAGAATATGATAGATGAACTCATCAACTTATATATTAAGTTGTGAGGTTAGTGTTCATGCTCAAATGGTTACCCCATACAATATTTTTCTCAATGATTTTTTGTCATTAATATCCATTCCAGTTTTACACCCTTAAAATGCTTAGGAACCGTTTGGTAAGGGTTGTCGGGCTAAAATGGTTAAAGCTTCTGAAATTTTAGAGTAAAACACTTGGGTAAAATCCATTCCAGTCAAGCAGTTAATTCAAATGCTAGTTTGAGTATTTTGCAAATAAACAGAACAAGACGACTGATTCTACAAAACACATCTTAATTTAAGGAAAACCGATGCCATAGAAAGGGTAAAAGGCCTTCAATTAGGGGAATTACAATCCATCAAGCATTGAGGATCCAATGAACATTCTCTCGTTATTCTTAGGTTTTAAAGTAATTACCACGCTCAAACAAAAACGTTCTCAATAATTAATCAGACACAATTTCCAGCTTTAAAAAACTCTCAGCTTATTTGGGGAAAATTGATGCCAGAAAAGGGGGAAATAGTCCTTCCAGTTAGGGAAATGACAATCCATCACGCATTGATGATGATAGCATTAATTAATCATAGAAACGGAATGAAACAGCGTAGAATCGGAAGGGAACCTTAGATCGATCTCGGAAGGAAGGCTGAGCGTTGGCGGAGGATTCACGGTGAGCAGCGGAGGCTCTAATAGCCTGGGCGGCCAAAGACTGAGACGCGGAGGAGGAGAACGAGTCGCCGTCATCATCCTCCAGGGACGGACGGAGAAGATCTTCATTGAATGTGGACGACCTCGAGATCCCGCCGTGTCTGCGCCTGCACGCCATATCCTTTCCGTCTGGATCCCAATCGATTGGATCCTCAGACAATCACCGCACACTTCGAGAGCAGGAAAAAAAGGGAGTTGCAGAGGTAGCTGAACCTCCCGGAATCCACCGCCTACGGCCGTAAACCGCCACCACCGGTTTGATCGTGTTTCCAATGTGTGTGGTAGAGAGGGAGAGAGGGAGGAGAATGCATGAGCACGCATTAACGAACGAACTTTCCTCCATTTCAGTGCAGTTTCTTTCTCGCAGAGTTCCGTTATATGTGGCGCCCTAAGTTGTTTTTCTTTTTTATTTGTCTTATTCCATTCTTTCCAAAATAATAATTCTTCCGTCCCAAATTAAATTATATTTTTCACGTTTCGAAAAAATTTATATTTTCTATAAACTATTTTTATTAAAAATTTGTATGAATATAAAAAATAAAACTAACATATTAAAAAAAATGTGTTAAAAATTTTATAGACAAAAGTGGTACCATTATTTTATTTTATTAAAAGTATGAGAAAAAATGATAGTCAATTTTAGGATGGAGAGAACATTAACTTTTTTTAAAGGAAAAATAGAAAACTTTGAGCATAAAATTTGGAATGAATATAAATTTAATAATATTGAAAATTTAGTATTATTTCATTCATATTTAATAAAGTGGATCTGTACATGAAGGAGTCATACAATGAAAAATAGATCGTGACAACCAAGAGCCAAAACGGATCTGTACAGGGTACGGGTTAGAAATTCTAGATTAGAAGTTTTGTCATAACAATTCAGAGAAGTGTGTCTCATCATGTTGTTATGGAGGTCGGGCTATTACACGAACGTGGGCCCTCAGATGTAGGAAAGTTCTCCGAACTGCGTAAACAATTCTTGTGCATGCACTATTTACTGCTTTCACTTTATATTCTGCACGTGTGCTTGTGACGGAGAAGATATTATAGTACACTCTCTATCATCTGTTAATGTGAGAGTGATGCAATATCTTTTCCAGAGCATAGTTGATTGATTTGTTTGCATAGCTTTCAATTGGTGATTTCCGCTGCATCCCACAAACTTTCATCATCAATCTCTCAATGGTCAAACAGAGTGACTAAAAAAAGAGAAAATTACATAAATAGTCCCTACTAATACACAGTTTTCAATATTTAGTTCCTACTTATCAAATATTACCGATGTAATCCTCTTTTCTTTAGTTCTTTCCACAATCAGTCCTTTGTCACTCATGTTATTGCCCAACTCTTAAATACGACATTGAAAAAGTAATTTTCTACCTCCACCTCCAAATTAAACACCTCACCAGCCCTCCTCATATATGCCTTTGTGTGCATGGTTAGGGTGCAACATTCAAATTGTCATGTGCGACGAAAACTAGGGACCTTTTATGAAATTTAGTCAAAAAAAATACTCATGACACATTGTGAGGCATAGCTTGAGGATTATATTGCATATGTGGTCCTTCAAGTTATTAGGTAATATACTGTTAGTCTTGTAATTTAAAAAATTCATGAATAGTGTTTCATGTCACGTTAATATTGCATTAATGGTGTCTTCTTTCATTTTTCATTAGTCTATGTATTTTTTTCATTTGCTATTTTAAATAAATGTTAAAAACTTTTCTTTTTCATACAATTGACTTATATTTCATGTATATTCATTTTAATTAAAATTGTTGATAAGAACTTTAGGCGGTAAAAAGTCAGAATTTTATAATTACTTTAAGATGGACTGATTATTATTATTTTTTAAATTAGACTAATAAAGGTATAAGTAACTTATTTTCAAATTTGCCACGGATGGTACCAAAAGTTAATTGGTGCCTTTCCCCTTATAGTACCACTTTTTTCTTTCCATAAATGGAACTAATATTGACCTGATCTCCCTATTTTACCCTCTCTTATTCACGTATAAATGTCATCTTCTTCTCATATTCAATTTTGCGTCGCGCGCTCATCTTCTTCGTCTCTCTGCAAATCAATCATAGTCTCCTCTCTCAAATCAATGTCTGCTCAACCTCCTTCGTATCATATATGCCTGAATGTTTATGGCGAATGGAGCAATAATTCCTCCTTTCATTCTAAATTTAACTGTGAGTTGTTCATCCATTCTGAAAATTCATTCGCAGACCTAATGAACGATGTTCGTGTAGCGATTGGTGACGATTGTGCGCAATATGATTTTTCGATTTTCGTATTTGTTGCCAGTTTGCCCTCCCCCTGTTGTTATTGATGATGATTCCAGTTTTCGATTTTACTTGCAACTGAAATCCTTTTACAGAGATGTTTTGATGTTGCCATTATGTGTTTAATTCTTCCCCAATTTGCTCAATGCAACATCAAATCCTGTTTTGCTTTTGATTTCACATGCTGAATCTGGTCCCCATCCTCCATCGTCAATGTCTTTGAATTTCAGTTCAGATGACAATAATTCAATGCCTACTGGGGACATTTCACTTGCCAATCATGTAAACACTTTTTCATTAATGTCTGAATCTGGTCTCCAACCTCCATCGTCAATGTCTTTAAATTTCAGTTCAGATGACAATAATTCAATGCCTATTGGGGACATTGCACTTGCCAATCATGTAAACACTGTTTCCTTAATGTCTGAATCTGGTCTCCAGCCTCCATGGTCAATGTCTTTGAATTTTAGTTTAGATGACAATAATTCAATGCCTACTGAGAATAATGTAACGGGCAATGAAGAGAATACTATCTCATTTATTGATAAATATCAGCTTCTACTTCATCCTCCATATGGTCTTCAACCTGCACCTGCATCTACTGGTTCCACCTCATCATCAATGTCGTTTACTATGGATGGGACAAGTTATGATTCTGAAGACACTGATTATTCCAGTCACCATGACATTAATAGGAGGGATGTTAATGGTTATGAACCACCTTTGAGAGATGTCATTAGCACTAGTCCAGTGATCGACATCTGAGGAAGTATTTTATATGTACCCAAATTTTGAGATCTTATCCCATTTCCACCCCTCTATAATAGTTGTTGATGCAATATATGAGAGCAAGGAAGTGCTGGATTACCACTTAAAAATGTTGGCTATTAGCAACTATTTTCAATATAGAACGAGGAAATCCACAAAGAATGTTTTACATGTTGTATGTGTAGATCGTAGCAGCTGCAAGTGGGCTGTTAGAGCTGTTCGCATGCCACGTGGTGAAATGTTTCAGATTCGCAGGTAGCACTTCTACTTATTATGGTTCTTAGACTTTCACCGCTTTTGTTGTCCAAAGCTTTTGTGTCAGTGGTGTTTAAACTGTTATAAGACATTTGTATTTATGTGTTTTAAGTATATACACTACTAGAATATAATGCACCTATTTTGTCATCATCTGAAGCAAGTATTTTCTCTCAGGTATGACTTTGAACACCAATGTCCTGTTGATGTTAGACAGGGTAAGACTCGCCAGGCTACTTCTTCAGTTGTTGCTAACCTTATCATCATTTCAATGCACAGTAACATCTACTAGACTATATGTTTCTCATAAGTCCTCAAAATTTATGTCTCAATCAAAAATGTCATTATATTCATTTAAATGCTTAACAGGACATTCATTCACTAACCAAAGACACATTCTCATCATCACAATAAAACCATGTAAACCATGTAGACATTAATAGACTTTGTCCACATCATAGACATCCACAATTCAAGTGTACAGATCCCACTAGCATCCCTTGGGCTTTAAGTTAGTCATAATCCCTCAATACTTACTTCTATATCCACAAATATCATTATATTCATTCAAATGCCTAACAGGCATTAATACGCCAACTGAACACATAGTCTCATAATTTGTAATAAACCAAGTAGACATTAGCAAAAATTATTCTTATTACACACAACCACAATTGAATTGTTCAAAGCACAATAACATCTGTTGGATTTATGATTCTCTTAAGCCTTCAAAACTTATATCTCAATGAAAAACTGTAATGATTAGACATAAATCAAACCAAGTAGATAGTAATTAGACCAAGTAGACATTAATAGACGACATTGTAGACATGCACAATCGAAAGCTCATAACTATCAAATTCAATTAAATATAACATAATGCATGCCTTCAATCAATTCATAAACTTCAATTTCATAAAGTTCAATTCATGTTGATCAACTTTAAATTGTAAATTTCAGAGCTTACCAGTCCGTTAGGCATTGTCAAAAGCATATCATCGGATTCCCTCGGCACAAAATTGTTGTCTTCACTTTCACTTTTCTTAGACGCCATTGTTACCTTCATCGAAAATTGATTTACTGAAGCCATTGTTATCGCTTTCTTATATTCGCTCTCTCTCTCTCTCTCTCTCTCTCTAGTTTTCGCTCCTATAGATTTGCATCGAGAGAAAGAGAGCCTGGATTGTTTAATGCCTTGATCGATTAGCTCGTTTCTCTAGATTCCTTCGCTCGTAAATGTCTCTTGATTTTCGAAAATTGCAGCTTGCGCGTTTTTCCAAATCCAGCGGTCAGGACTATTTTAGTCATTCTAGTCATAAAAAAACATTTATGGTAACACTGGTCCTACTTTGAAAATTTTGCATTGTTTTAGTACCATATTTGGCATTTCCCCTAACTTATTACTCCGTATTATTAAAAAGAGTAAATTACATAAAAGGTCCCCAGTTATAGGTCGTTTTACATATTTAGTCCCTACATATCAAATATTACTTATTTAGTCCCTAATTATTATATTCATTTCCACGAATGGTCCTTTGTTAACATTTCCATTAAAAACATAGATAAAATTATCAATTCACACTACTTTTTCTCCTCAATTAAGTTTCCTCCTTCCTTTCGTACTCTTTCTCAAATTTGTCGCTGAGTTTGAAGCTCCAAATCCAAAACTGAAATGATCAGACCTCTCTAAAATCAAAACCAATAAGCTTTATGGATGAGTTTTATCGGTTAGTCTCAAGAAATTGCAAAGAAAATAAACATTAAAACTCATAAATGAAGGAAACTGGTTTCAAATTTGGGTTCCATCAGTTCGACAAACAATTGAGAGAAGAGTGATAATTTTGAATTTGGGTTCAATGCTTCAAACTCAGCGACAGATTTTGGAAAGGAATGCGATGGGAAGAAAGAAGCTTAATTTAGGAGAGAAAGAAATGTAAATTTACAATTTTATCCACATTCTTAACGGAAATGTTAAAAAGGACTATTCGTGAAAATGAATATAAAAATTGGGGACTAAATAAGTAATATTTGATATGTAGGGACCAAATATATAAAACAACCTATAATAGGGGTCCTTTTATGGAATTTACTCTATTAAAAACAATTGGAGTAAGAAAAGTAAGAATAACTTACTATGATAAAAAAGTG